TTTTTTTTAAAGTGAATACAAAGACGTACAGAAGTATTCCACGTTGATAAGGAAATTTCTTCAAACTGAAGGATGATTTTTAAGCGAGTGTTTTTCACCCATTTAGTGAATGGGGCCTTTGAAACACCGGAAGCAAACTTTGCATGAAGTGCTGGGCATCTTTAGTACCTGTACCACCAGTGGACCATGAATCGAGTGTTTAAAATTTCGCCTCATGAAAAAATGTGTACCTCATTCTTGTAAAAAAAAAAAAAAAACTCGTTTGGTAATGGACAGTTCGAGGCACGTATACTCGAAGCAATATTCGCCGAAAATTTGAAATTATTTGTGTTTAATATCCTTTAATGACGTTAAGATATTCTTACGAAATGCTTACTTTCGAGACGAAAGTAGTAAGAGAATGAAATTAATTAGTCAAGCCAAATTCCAACATGAGTCTGAATACTTCTGATGTGGATAAGCAAATTGGTGATACAATCACGTTCAAAAGAAGAAAATGAACTCCCATGATTGAGTTTTGCTAAAAACAAGGTGAGCATTAAATTAAAGATGCACATGAGAAAACACTTTTTTTCAACTGATTTTGTTTTTAATTTGCACTACGGATTTAAACCGTGAAATGAAACGAAAAATGCATACACGGAGAACTTCCGATTTTGCCTGTCGACCCCAGAATTCGTAAAAAAATTGAAAAAACTTCCAATCATTTTTTTTTAGAGCACATGCATATTTTCAGAACATCACTTGTTGACTAGATTTCAGGACGGATGCGTGAGTCAATCACAGGAAAACTTCGGAATAATTTGAGACCAACCATGAGAACAGTATCCACGAACACACTTTTGCGACAAAAAAATATCTCACTATTTAAACACGTGCAATTTCAATGCATCGACAGGACATCAATCAGTCTTTCATAAATTGCGCGAATTTGCTTTGGCGACAATCGATTAATCCTCTTCTCGGCATTCCTCTTCCAATTGAATGCCGTGTTCTTGAATTTTGCTTCGCAGCTTCCGAATAACGTCATTCTTCGAGACCAAGATTTTCTTCAGATTTGCAAAAGCTGCGGTTTGATTCAGCTTCTTGTCCAGCTCCTGGAAAGTTGACGATGAACGAAGAATGAGGAAAAGGACACGATAGTTTGTTCGTGATCAGTAAAATAATTCTGGATACAGAAATGTCGAGAAAATTATTTTTCTTCCAATTTTGTGACATTTCACTTAGGCTAGTAAAAGATACGAGGAAGAAGTATACTGTATATGCTTCCGTGCGTTTCATCGTCCCACGCGTTAAAGCGAAGATGAACGCACTCTCACGAGGGTTGGTTCATAAGTTGTGAGACTATTTGAAATAGATCCAACGGAGTTTCAACAATTTCAAAAGGAAATTTTTACTCGCATAGTCCCATCATCGGGCAACACTTCAGTCAGTTCAACACACTCTCCGCCAATTTCAATGCATTTTTAAATGCTATAAACATAACTCGATTTTGAGCACTGTTTTGATTGTTGGATTTATCGCGGGAAAAAAATTCCAAAGAATTTTCAAAAATACAATTTTTTACATCACATAGCCCTATCATTTGGTAACACTTCAGTGCTGTTCAACATACTCTCCGCCGATTTCAATGAATTTTTAATGCAATAAACTTGACTTGATTTTTGGCACTTTTTGATTGCTCGATTTATCTTATGAAAAATGCAATTGAAATCGGCGAAGAGTACGTTGAACACCACTGAAGTGTTGCCAAATATACTATGCGTGTTGAAAAAAAAATTGGAATTGTTGAAACTCCTTGGGTTTGAAAGTATCAATACTTATGAACCAACCCTCGTATTTTAACGTGAAAGCAGGATAAATAAAATTGCACGACATCCTGACCTTCTCTTTGATATCAAGCTGCTCTTGGATTTCCAGCAAGCGATGTTTCGTTGATGTGAGATCCGATTCAAGTTGCTTCTTGGCTGCCTCGTCATCCTCGGAACCTTTCGCCAAAGAAAATTTCAAATGTTCCAACTCCTCCTTCACCTGCATGCACATTATCGAGTGGGAAAAAGAGAATGTACAGTGTGTGTAAAGGCGATTGATCGACTGATTGCTGGTGTCAAAATGCTGACCTCGTTCAGCTCGTCAGACACTCGGACTTCCCCGTCATCCGGTTTCACTGGCGCAATATTTTTCAGTGTCAGTATTTCCGCGTTGGCATCGTTCAGCAGTTTATTCAGCTCGGATTTTGTTCGCAAAGCTGATGAAACCTTTAATGGACAGAAAAATGCACACGTTTCCTTATAAATTGAATCTAGTCAGGGAATAAACCGAAGCACCATTTTCTGACACGATTCTGAATACAGGCAAAATAACCTGAAAATACGACCAAGAACTAAGTCTTTCTGCCTAGTCCATCTGTTAATTTTGCCAGTGACCTTTTGATTTTTGAAGCACTTTCCACTAATATCCTCTTTCCGCCAGCGTTTATCTACAAAAGATGCAATCATTTTTCAAATGAAAATCTTTATCGCGAGACAAAACCTCATGCAATTCTAAGAAAAGTTTAAATCCTAAAAGATCGTATCAATCGTGTGGTAACCCTTCCAGCAACTGAAAGTTGTTCCTTGACAATCGAACTAAAGAAATCTCGGAATAATACCACTGTTGCAAAAATAGAAAATTTTTTTTATTATCGGCTGCATCAACACGAAAAGTGAACGAAGATTTCGTTGGTATTAAAATCGAAAAAATTTAACAAAATGAGTTCTAATTTATGTTTCAAGCGTTAAATTTAGAAACGTCGTTCGCTTTTCCTTCGGAAAAGCAATGCGAAACGGATTTTACGGTTTTTCGGAGACGAGAAATGAGAGGGTTCACCTGTTCTTCGAGAAGCTTGATCCTTTCCCGAAGGTCGTTGTTTTGCGAAGCAAGCTTTTCTATCTCCATGCTCATCAACTTGGATGCACCAGCGTCGTGCAGAGGATTCAACTTGGAGGGCTTATTGGTAGCAGCTTGCTTCAACGCATCAGTCTCCTTCCCAAACGCCGATTCTGCCTCCTCGAATTTCTTGATTTTCTCCAACAAATCCCTTTTCCCCGCGAAACGGCAATTTTTTTTTATATTTTCACTCACACAGCAAAATTTCGCATTCAGAACGGTGCCACGATTTTCATAAAATTCACTCATCTTTCTTTTAAATTGCAAAGAGGATCCAGCGATGAGAGAATTATAATATCGATGTCTGAATTGAGATCTGCAGAAGAATATTCCGGTTCTAGAATGAGGGATCTATATACGTATCGCACCGAGACGTGGGTTGAGCTCGGATATATGCTTCTTTTTTTTAAATGCTCCTAGCTTCTTTTCATCGTTTAAAGAAAAAAGGTTTCATTTCAAATGTAGTTCCAGCTGGGAATGCCTTACATGTTCTCGAGCTGGGCGGTGTCAGCTTGGAGCTTGAGGTGCCACTCCTGGGCCTGGAGAAACAGGCCTCGCAGCAGCAGGACCGACGTGTGCGTCATGTGCAACAGCTCGCCTTCCACTTCGTCGCGAACCTCTTTTTCTACCTCGGAAAAGATCTCGGCTATTTCGTCAGAAGTGTATGTCGGCTCTAGAAACCTTCAAGTCCAGTAAAGAGAGAAAGAGAGAGAGATAGTAGAAAAACGCCAAAAGGTTTGATAGCATCATTTTTTTTTCTTAAAAAAAAAAAAGCCAGAGAACCCAAGTACCTTCTTCGAAATTCGTTTCATCTTCGACACCTTCGCATTTCAGATTTACTGTGATTTATTTTACTACAGTATATGGATGCGAGAGACTCCGAATAAACTGGATCCTTCAATCGGGTTCTTTATTCGAAGATACAGCATATGCATTTTCTGTTTCCTCAAGGTCAGTCGTCAGGAATTACCAACATTGATTGCTGTTCGGACTTCCATGTGAAGCTCAGTTTTTTCTCATATATAGCTAATTAATGCTTTCTCGCGATCCCTAATTTACAACCATCATACTGCAAGAATATCCTTATATCAAATTATAACATGTTTCCAAGTGGTGTAACTCCTGTAACATAAGTACATTAGTTTGTGCATTGCCAGAGCACCTTCTCTTCTTATGTCCAGCATTTGAAAGGGATAGAAATCAGCTTAAGAAAGATTTAAAATTACTGAAATTCAATGAAGAGACATTTTTGGAACTCTTGAAGGATCAAGAAAAATGCTTGGCCTTATATGATCTCTCATCAAAGATAAAGTGATCAGAGTTCGGGGAACGATTTTTTCTCCACATTGGAACACACACAAAAAAAGAAAATGATGTAAGAAACAAGGTTGAAACGTCATCTAATGATGAATGTAGTCCAGAGAGGGAAATTGACAACTGGAGAATTAATTAAAGAGGATCGATATTTTCCGCTAGCGAACTCGAAGAATTTCTCCTTCATATTGCAAGTACAGTAATATGATAGTGATAAAACATGTAAATTTCATACCTCGCGTAATAGGTTTTTTATGCGGAAACTACTGCATCTTGGGGGGAAATATTTCTAATTTCACCAGACGAATTATTTCCACGAGAATACGCCTGCTCCGATTCATTTCGATGATCAAAGAATTTGTTTATAAAAGAGAATACGATTTATACCTTGGCCAATTTTTAAAATTCGAGAAACGTGCCACCCTTACCATGAAGAAATCTGACCATTTTCAAATAAATATCCATTAAAATTGTGCAAACATTCAGGATGACAAATGTGGCACATGACTTTTCAGTGAAATACACATTTGTATTGAAATATTTTTTTGTTTAAAAGTCTCTGTAATCCTATAAAACCCTCACTATTTTTAACAATCCATCATAGGTTCACTTTAAAAAGTGAATAAATAACAAGCAGTCTGTCCCAATTTTTGCCGAAAGAATTGAGAAAAAAACGTTAAATACAGCATGCGCTTTAAATATTCCGACTATTTACTTGGACGGTTTGACAATTTTTCAAGCATCAATACTTATAATTTCCACTTTCTAGCGACGAATTTTAATTCCTCCATGGACAGCTCATAGAAATCGATAGTCAAAAATATCGAAAAATTAATAACCAAACTCTCTCTTAAGTTTCGTAGATGTTTCAAATTCTCTCGTTATTGGGACTGTAAATTTATGACAGACCTCCGCAATATTCGCTCAAGACGCACGCGTTTAAATTAAATATCGAAAAATTAATAACCAAACTCTCTCTTAAGTTTCGTAGATGTTTCAAATTCTCTCGTTATTGGGACTGTAAATTTATGACAGACCTCCGCAATATTCGCTCAAGACGCACGCGTTTAAATTTGAGATCAAAGTAAACGAAGGATATACGAAAGTCATCGCTAAAATTAGAAAGCTCACCTAGTGTCTTTGGCGTTGTTGAAACAGGCGACCACGGTGCGGAGTTTTTGCATCCGCTGGTACCTGCAGAACCGCATGAAATCCACCAGCTCTTGTTTGTGGTGCTCGTTCAAACCCAGCGGCTGTTGGTCTTCCTGATGAACAACAAGCAGTTCCCAAAGTTTACGTCAAAATTTCGAACATGTTGGTACCTGCAGAACCGCATGAAATCCACCAGCTCTTGTTTGTGGTGCTCGTTCAAACCCAGCGGCTGTTGGTCTTCCTGATGAACAACAAGCAGTTCCCAAAGTTTACGTCAAAATTTCGAACATGCCTTGCTTTTTGAAGAGATTAAATTGTCACGTTTGTTTGCTTTTTGATTTATTTCCAAATAATGTACTGTAATATTTATCGCGAGGGAAGGTCTTCGTCATTTTGGGAAGAACGAAAATTCATGAATTGCCATTTATGCGTGCATTGAAATTTTTGGATGTGGAAAATACAGCATAGTTCATATAGCTCCGATTATCTGGGAAAATAATCGACTGCCTTCACCGGAAAATTGAACAACGTTTCAGAGATAACTTATTCACAAAACTGATTTAGAAAATTAAAAAAAAAAGTCGAATTACCTTGACTGCGGTTATACAGTTTCAATTTTGGTAGATCTCAAAGTTCATCAGTCCTAATGAACAGTAACTTTTTTTTTAAATCGCTCATGTTAAAATTCAGAGGAATAACGGCTGCTTTTCTTTCTCTTAGTGAATCAAAACGTGGACACGCTAATAATCCTAGTACAGTATCTGGTTAATCGAAAACTGGGCAATCACAGATTTACTGTATAGTTTTGATGAGTTTCTTTTTTATTAAAGGCAAAATTATTGTAATACTTGAGGTTACAAGAAAATGCATCTGATTCGGCAGCAATTGTTACCTTCAAGAAAAACTAAGGTTTGCATGATCACCAGTTATAGAGAAGTGATCAGGACATTTTTATTCGATAGGCTGTGATATGATATTCAATCAATTGATTGAAAAATTGAGCAATGCCTTAGTTAAAGCTAAGTAAAATTTTTAGCGTGAATACGGTATTGAATCCTGCATCAAAACAAACAAGAAAGAAGCCTGACCTATTTGGTGTTTCTTGAAATTGTTATAGGTACATGAACCTTTTATAAGATAAATTCCGATCATTCCGAAATTTACATGAGGGACTGCTTAATCTATCCTCCTTATGTTATTACTATTTTTTTAACGAAGGGGTTACATTTAAGTTACACAGGCCCACTTCATTTCCTGTCACATGATCGAAACTGGGGAACAGCCAATCGAAGTCATCGAACACAAAAGGTAAAATTCATGCATTTTTGTACTCCCCTCGCAAGAAAAT